TTTTTATCTAATATGGTTTAGCTTGATAAATATTTGTTGTTTGTGAACAGGCCCATTGATAGGCATAAACATTATGTCTTCATTTTAAATTCATTAAAATTAGCATCATGATAAGATGTTCCCGTGTCAATCTTGGCAGTCAAGCCCCTCCCTTCAACCCCTGGTACCTGACAAGTATTGATCTGCTTTCTACTGTTATAATTTCGCCTTTGGAAGACTCTTACAGAGGTGGATTCATACAGTGTTTTGTGCAGTCTTCTGTGTCTGACTCATTTCTGACACTGAGCAAAATCCTTTTGAGATGCATTCGTGCCATGGTGGTCGGTGGTCGGTTCCTTATTGCCGAGTAGCATCCGTGGTGTGGATAGAGCACAGTTTATTTTCACCCGTTCGACAGATAATGAAACATTGAAGTTTGGGGCTACTATGAATAAATCCACTGTGGACGTCATACAAGACTTTATGTGAACACATATTGTTATTTCTCCTGGATACCCCAGGGATGAAATCTCTGGGCTACGTGGTAAAGGTATATTTAACTTCATGTTACGTTAAATCGCCACACTGTTTCCCAGAGCTGTTGTATGATTCTGCATTCTCAGCAGCACTGCATGGCACTCCCAGTTGCTCCATGGCCTCACTAACACCTGGTACTGCCGATTGTTTTAATTTTAGCCATTCTGAAGGTCAGTTTTCGTTTGCTCTCCTTAAGTGTTAAACATTTTTTCCTGTCCTTATTTGGCAGCCGTATATTTTCAGTGGTGAAATCAATGAAATCTTTTGTCCATTTTTCAACTGGGTTGTTTCACACCTTGTTATTGAGTTGTAAGATTTCTACCTTCTAGATTTTTCTTTGTGGTATTTAGCAGTTTTATAATGATGTGCATGCGTGTGGCTTTCTTTGTGTTTATCCTGCTTGGCGTTCATGGTAATTCTTAAATCTGTAGTTCGTCTTCTTAAAGTTGTGCAATATTCTCATTCTCTCTTCATGTATTGTTTCTACCAGATTTTCTCCTCATTTTTGGCTAGAACCTTAATTATTCATTTGCTAACCCTTTCCTCCTCATCCCAGGTGCGTCTTTGGCCTTTCCTGGATCTGCAATCCTTCCTGCTCTCTATGCCTCCGTCTGACCTGCCTTCAATTCAATCATTTTTTCTTTTGTTGTGTCTATATTACTGTTAAATCCATTTACTGTCTCTTTGGTTTACTTTATTTTTCAGTTCCAAATTTTCTATTTGGTTCTCTCTTATAGTGTAAACTTTCTGCTGAAATTCTCCACTTTTTATTTTAATTCCTTGAATGTATAAAGCATACTTTGTTTACGGTAACTCCATTGCAAATGAATGAATTCATGGTATTATTTTTGTAAGTCTAAAAGTTTAAATTTTGTAAGTTTAAAAGCATGTCAGACAATGCTACACAGTGCTTAGGGGTACATACATATATAATGAAAACATAAAGAAATATATGGAATCAGTAAACAGCAAATTCAGGATGATATTGCCTTTGGGTTAGAAGGTAATTGGAAATGGTTTGGAAAGGAGGACACATTGTGTTTTAGTTCTTGCTAGGTGATTGTAGCGTGGGCCTTTATTCTCCTTTTTCCACGTCTTAAGAATTGTACAATAATAAAAAGGCTAATGTGTGTGTGTCTAAGGTAGGGACCGGAGGAATGAACAGCAGGACGAGAAGGTGAATGGGAGGTGTGATCTCGAGAGCTGAACAAGGAGGCCGTGCTGGGGCTGAGCGGATGGTGGCTCCCGCGAAGTGGGGTGGCAGAGGCAGGACAAGTGGTTGGGTTGGGAAGGTATGTCGAAGGCAACAGAAATCACTGGTGGATTGACAGAGGGTGTGGGACAGAAAGAAGGGTCAGGGACGGCTCCTAAGTCCTCCTGGGGCCTAAGAGGAGGGTGGACTTTCATTTGCTGTGGGAGGCGCAGGCCCAGGGGAGGAAAGCAGAGTTCGGGGGCGAGATGTGTCCAGATGGAGCTGCCAAGTGCGCAGCTGGAGCTCGGGGAGGAGGTCAGCCGCCCAGAGTGGAGGCGGTTTTTACCCTGGGGATGAGCCCGAGGACCTCTGCCTACCTCACAAAAAGAAAATAAGAAAAACAAAACTGAGATACTAACTTTGTACGTATTTTTAAAATTTATTTAGGGAAAACTCAACCATGTCACCGTAAGTTCATTCTACTTATGAAATGCGCAAACATAGCCCCACAGAGAAGAGTCAATAGATGCCACCTATTCTTAATGCATAGTGGGCGAACATCTTTGTAATTGTTTCTACTATGAATGAATACATATAATTTTTGAAGGTGTGACGATAATATCTAAGGATTCACATTCTGGTTAATTCCCACAAGTCTCTATATAATGTAATACTCTATTTTAGCGGATTTCTTTTCTCTAGTCACTCTGCAAATAGAACGTACAGACCAACATTCGTGGCGCAGTCCCCAGGATTCTCAAATTAAAACAGTTACCAAACCCACACCAGATCAGACGTTTCGTGATGTCTGAAAATGAAGACAAATGTGCTATGACCATGTAAATTGTAGGATATTAACTATTAAGTAGTACATGTGATAAAATTAGTAAAAACTATTTAAAGATACGAAAGCTAACAGTTTGTACATAGAAAAGCCATCTTTTACATACTGGATTGATAGTTTGTAGGAGTATTTTTAAACTCATATTAAACATTGCTTAGCTGGATAGTAAATCCTGTCAGTGTAGAAATAATTTTTTTTGTAATTCTCAAAGAAGAAAGTGGCATAAACTTTAATTCATGGTTACATAGTTGGCTGGAAAAATGCCAGTTTGACCACGAAGATTTCCTTCCCACCAATCAAAATGCGAGTCTGTCTTTGACGTAACTGTGATTTTGTCTCCAGCTTGAAAACTCAAATCCCCGGGCTGTTGTCCTTCGAAGGAATAGAGCGCCGTCACTTCTATCGGTGGATTTGAACTGCCTAAAACAAACAAACAAAAATTTAAGTTAGACATGATTTTTAGGGGAAAAATTGGGAGTATGTAGATAAGGTAAGTCACCCATTGAGTGTTTAGTACCCTGATGGCGGGGAGAACAGCCGAACCCACCGCACGTGTCTGTGTGATTTTCATCACATTATTAAACTTAACATTTTCCGCTTTGGAAAGAGCCAACATTTGGCAATAACATTTCCCAAATCCACATCAGAACTGCACGTGATTATGCACCTGTGTATTTGGCAAATGTTTATGGTTATAATTGTTTGAATTTTGAATAATCTCTAAGATACTATTACTTATTTACATTTATAAATGGAAATTATTTATTTACAGTTTTTCCATTTTAATAGAATAGTCACTGGTATGGTCTGGATGTTTGTTTCCCCCAATTCATGTGTTGAGATCCGCATCCCAAGGTAATGGTGTTGGAAGGTGGGGCTCTGGGAGGTGATGAGGTCAGGAAAGCTCCTGCCGTAGGCCGTGAGCGGGATCTCTGGCCTCACAGGTGAGACCTGTGGGAGGACGCAGCGAGATGCCGCCACCCCTGCAGTAGAAATTGAGCCCTCAGCACCCGGAGTCTCCCGCACCTGGATCTTGCACTTCCAGCCTCCAGGGCTGGGAGAATAAGTTTCTGCTGTTTTTGAGCCTCCCAGCCTATGGCGTTTTGTTGTGACGGCTGCCATGAATTACAGACATGAGAGAGAAAGTGAAGTCCGTGCTCACGACTGTATCATAAAAGATCCAACTTAGAGGCCGGGCTCGGTGGCTCACGCCTGTAATCCTAGCACTCTGGGAGGCCGAGGCGGGCGGATTGTTTGAGCTCAGGAGTTCGAGACCAGCCTGA